GGAGGACTTTTCAGAGAAAATGATGCTGATCCTGCCTGGAAGGATAGACAGGGGCTTGTGTGTGGGGCTGTGTGGGTGGTGGGAGGGAACAGGGCTTTCTGAGCTGGGGGAACAGAAGAGTTAGGGCTCAGAGGGTGGCACTTTGTGGGCATGAGGAGGAAAGAGACGAGCCTGGGCAGCCAGAGTGTCAGGGGCCCCAGGATGCTGGGGAGTCTGGACTTCATGCCCGAGATGTTAAGTTTGCTGCTAAGGCATTTTTCAGCAGGAAAGGATAAATGAGTATCCATTCAGAATCTTTCAAAGACCCTGGAAGAATAGGGTAGGAGAGAGAAAGATCGTTTTTAAGATTTTACCTTCAGTTGTTTTCTCAAAATGCCTTTTAGTCTTTCTTTTGGGGCAGGCTGCTCCTGGTCCTGAGTCATTTTGGAGTGGTGATGAGCAATCACGCAACTCTGCCAGGTCGGCCAAGCTCCTGGCCAAAGACAGACACCTCTGCTCAGGGGCTGTGGGAAGCCTGGGGAGGTGCTCTGTTCTCAGGGTTGGGGCACCAAGGTGGGTGACCTCTTTTGCGCCAAGATTAGGGATCAGGCCAAGAGCTGGGGGAGGATGACTTCATCGTCCCTTCTAGCCCAGGGTGGGCTCTCCGGGGGTTGAGGGACATACCAGCATTTTTGGGCAGTGACCTCAATTGAGCCTAATTATGAAGGATCCCGAGCATTCATTCTGAGCATAAAGTCAGTCAGACTTCTCAAACAATAAGTCTTGGGCTTTTGGTTTCAGGGGACAGCAGGATGGAGAGATGATGAACCTACAAAGTGCAAGGGGAGGTACTAATGAAACCGATTTTCCTACCCAAAGGTTATTAATTTGAAAGGTTATTAATTTCCAGCAAAGGGCAATGATTTTTCACTAAGATGACAGAGTGAAATGCCTCATATTTTATTAAAAAGAGTTGTGAATGAGAATCTGAATAACTGCTCTGCGATTATTAAGAAAATGTCTGCTGCCTAGTGTGGCTTTCCCAGGCTTAGAGGCTGTCCAGGATTCTCCTCATCCCTGCCAGGGGGCTCTCAGCTCACGTTCCCCGTTTCGCTGGCCGCACCAGCTTCCTGGTCTTCTAAGTAGAAGCTGGGCTGTCACCTTGCACTCCTACACCAAACTTCCAATCAGTCTGAAGCTTCAGGTTCCCAAATATCCCTAGCATCCAGTGTCCCCGCTCAGGTGCATACTGTGTCTTGCTTGGTTGATTGCAACAGCCCCCTAACACATCTCTCTCTCTCTCTCTCTCTCTGGTCTTGACATCCTCCCCCATGCTGCATTTCAAAGATGCTTCCTAGAACAGGAATGACTATCAGATCCTTTAGTGACTTTGAGCTTCGTGGTGTCACAGCCAAGGTCACCACCCCAGTGATAATCCCTCATTCCCCAGCTCACCCCTCCTGCTACCCACGGCCAATGGGTCCCCCTACCTTGGCCCTCTCGCTCCCGCCTCTGTCGCTGTGGCTTCCTGGTGCACCCTGGACCATCCATTAAAAAGGAACTCAGACATTACACCCTGGAGGAAGGCTTCTCATCTAGCCAGAGATCATTACTTCCTCTTGCCGCCAGCGCTGTATTGGGTCCTTGCTTCTAATGTGCTTGTCATGGGGCCTGATAATTTATTTGTTTAGGTGTGTGCTGTTTTCTCCATCAGGCTGTGAGCTCATGGAGGGCAGTGCTGGTAGGCGCTCAATGAATGCTTAGTGAATGATGTATTCTGTGGCATCCTGGTCTCACATCAAAGGCGAAGATTTGATTTGTCAACCATTCATGCACTGGCGTGAACGAAACGTAACTAACTTTCTTTTATTTAGTGACAGAATAGCTACATCTTCCTTCCTTGCAGGATAGCTGACTCCAGTGCTTGAGAAGACTATATATGAAAACAAAATGGGGATAGAAATAGTACCTATCTCATGAAGTTGTTACAAAGATTAAATAAGATATTTGTAAAGAGCTCAGAACAATGCCTGACACATAACTAGCACCCATATAAGGCTGTGTTAAAGTAAGTACGAGTTGGAGCGGCATCTTGCATTTTTGATCTGTGAAATCCTTTTTTTCTGCGAAAATTTATCTCAGTTGCCCTCACAGGACCAATTCTGTCATATGTGTATTTACTCTGGATTTAGCTGGGAGAATAAGCTCTCATGCCGGTGCCTAGGGCCAAGTCTGTTCAGGAGAGTCCTGTGGAAAAGCGGTTGTCAGATAGAAAGGCCCACAAACAACTGAATGGGAACTGGGCTCTCCCTGTTCTTCCTGGGGCTTGGCTTTCCTTTAGCATGTAGAGGAGCGAGGAAGTTATGTATATATATGAATATATATTCACTCATCTATTTCCTCCACAAAAACTTATGAAGCATATATTATTATATTATGCCTTGGGCTCTGGCTAGGTAATATTTGGAGGCACATAGGGCACGACCTCTGTTTTTCAGGAGTCCCCAGTCTGGTGGGAGAGGCAGGTATGAGAACCAGTCCTCGAGGGTGGTTGCTTTCAGTGCTGCCGTGGAGGGACACCCTGAATAGGACCTAGAGAAGACCCCAAGGGAAGATGGGGCATCAGTTGAGTCTAGAAGGATAAAGATTCTTGAGGAGCTCACGTCTAGGACAAACTGTTGAAGAAAGTGAGGCTCTAGTACCCAAAAAGAATCAGATTTAGTGGAGGACATGAGCCTCAAAGGGGCTGCTATGGGGAAGAGGGCCTAGAATTCTCTTGTGCAACTCCAGGAGATAGAGACAGAATCAATGGGTGGGTGTGACACGGAAGAAAATCTTAGACTTAAAGAAGTTCACAAAGATTCATAGTGGAAGAAATTAGGACAAAGAGAAAATAAAGTAAAACAACAAAGATCGAAATGCTAACAGATTAGTGCTCTAGAATGCGCACGATGTGATCATCTAATGTTGATGAAGACGGGCCACAGGTTTTAGTCTGAGCTTCTTATTGGCCAAACCAGAGAAGGAAACAGGACCAGTTATAGGATTCATGGTGTCCAGTTGCTCACACTTTCCTGGTGCTGAAGCCTGAGATGGTTTCCTTATATGTTATTGTAAAAAGAGGCCACCGGGCAAGGCAGTGGCCACTGTCTTGAACGCCATTCCTACAAAATATGCGGTAGCAAGTTTTATGTGGTTGACTCTGAGTTCTCTGTCATCCTCATTGGAAGCGGCAGCCACAGTGCCAAACAGCATGTAAGGCATAGGGGATCTCTGGGAGGCTCTTCACTATAATCCAGCAGTAGTCTCTGTGACTGACTGAGGGAGGCAGGGGTCACTTCAGGTCACATTTTGGGTGGCAGGAAGGAATAGAGCTCCAGAGCCCAAGTGTCTGAGCCTCCATGGGGACAGAGTCCGATTGCCCTTTACAGAACACAGAGAATGCGGCTGCATCCTCAGCCAAGCCAAGGCATCAACGACACATGGCTATCGCCCATGCCCACATGTATACCAAAATCTTTCCCAGACTTTCGCCCCGCATGTAGCCAGCTCTTGACTGAGCACCTCTTACCAGGGGATCCTTTCGGTACTGCAAACCCAGTGAGGCCAAACCGAATTTATTTTCTTTCTTCCCAACCCATTCCTCTTCCTTTCTCTCTACATTTCTTATTGTCATGCAAAACACCATTGTTTATCCAGGCTGTTGCTCAAGCTAGAAAGTTTAGAGCTGTCTGGGATATTCTCTCTGTCCCCTTGGTGACCCTCATGGGTCACCAAACACTGAGGACTCAGCCTCATGATTATCTTTTCTCTCCTCTGCCACTGGCCTAGCTAGAACTTCATGCCATTTTTTTTTATATGTGAAATTGAAATCGAAATTGTGAAACTGTTTTATATTTTATTTGTAGAATTAATACACACTCATTGTATATGTATACGTATATAGAATTTGAAAAATGCTAAAAATGAATAAAGAATCTCACTACTGGGACAGAAACACAAGTAATATTTGGAGTATTTCCTTCTAATCTTTTATTATGGAGTTCCGTAGATATTTATTTGGAGCATCTAAAATTGAAATCGTATTATGCGAATGGTTTCATATCCCTCTTCGCCTGTCATGATAATTTTCTTACAGCATTACAAATTCTTCAAAAGCATGCTTTTGAAAAGTGGCTTCGTTTGTTTACTTATTCCATTATTGTTGGACTTTAGGTTGTTTCGGGTTTCTTTTCTATTACAAACAATGCCCTGATGACCATTTTTATACATAAATCTTTGTCTGGAAAATCTATGAGTATTTTCTTAGTATAGATTTTCAAAAGTAGAATCATTAGCTCCTTAGGCGTGATCTTGTGCGTATCTCTTTATGTATGCATATATATCCAAATTGATTTTCTGCACTTTTTAAGCTAATATTTACTGAGTATTTTCTCTGTGCCAGGCACTTTTCTAACAGTATGCCTTGTACTGACTCACTGAAACCTCACAGCAACTCTGTGAGCAAGTTGTGAGAAAACCCAATGATTCAGTTATGAGCGGCGGGGGCGGGGTGGGCAGTTGGGGGGTTGTCGGCGGGCAGGGGGATGTTTTCCAATTGTACTCCATAGGAGTAGCTCCTTCTCTAGGTGTGTCTTCTACAGTAGTTACTTTCTCAAGTCTTTAGAAGAGACAAAGACACACCAGTGATAAGAATCTGGGGATGAGGCTGTGGTTTTGAGAGGGAGACTATTAAAGGTAAAACGTCGGTTCCTTGGAGTGTCACTGCCTGTAACCTGAAAGCGGCTTGACGAGCGAAGGAGGCTTGAAGTTGCCCTCTGCATGACAGCAAGTTCCTGGGGCAGCGAAACTTCCTCACAATCAGTCGGAAGCAGAAGTGAGGTGCAGCCTCTGCATTTCTAATATATAGGTTCCTTGTGGCAAGTGATTTCTCCATTCCTAAGTCAGCCCCCGGGTTTGAGGTTTCCTAATGTTTCATACAAGAACAAATTATTTCATTTTCTTTTGGGTAAGGACATCATTAGGTGGTTACTGCAGGCAGCTGAGCTGGCACAGGAGGGAACCAAGGATCCTGCCGTAGAAGACCTTGGTGGGAGTGCGTCATTCTATCTTCTGCCCATGATGCCCGGGCTGGGTGCCTCTGCTCGGTTCCATGTTTGTTGAGCACCTCTCGTGGCTGGTGCTGAGGACACAAGTGCATGATACAGGAGCCACAGGTATTAATATGCCCCTCACAGAGTTATTTGTGAAATATCTTCATATCCATTATTTATATCGCTAAGCCGTGTGTCATTTGTTAACTTTGTTAACATGCACTGCTGAAAATATACCCAGACCTGGGACTACTGAGAGGGGTCCTCTGGAAGACCATAATTTCATGATTACTCTGAACATTCCCCCTCCCCAGCCATGTCCTCTGTTCAGGATGGAAGGAACCTATGAAATAAATGTAGCCATAGCTCTTCCCCAGCGGTTGTGATCAGGCCTGTGATTTGTACATGCACAACACTGACTTCAGAATTTCTAGGATGATGGCAGGATGGAAAAACTTGAATAAGAATTTAGTTGTTGCTGGGCCTTTAGAGATTCAGCTCTTAGCCATTGCTGATCTTTGGTGATAAGCAGATTCTACCCAAGGCTGTGATGAGGAATGCTGCTCTGACTCCTGCCATCTTGAATTTTGCCCATTACCATTTTGTTGTGAAATAAGACTATGAGGTAAGGGATGGAAGGAAAGCTATTTTCACAAGTCTAATTTATTCTGTTTTCTTTGTCTACTTTGGCCTGATTTAGCTAGCTGTCTTGTAGCCTGAGACTACAATCAATTTCTCCTTGGAGATTCAAGGAAGTAACTAGAGGCTATGTTTTCTAGTTGGAGAGTTTTTTTTCTTCCAAGCCTGTCTTTCTTTCTTTCTTTCTTTCTTTCTTTCTTTCTTTCTTTCTTTCTTTCTTTCTTTCTTTCTTTCTTTCTTCCTTCCTTCCTTCCTTCCTTCCTTCCTTCCTTCCTTCCTTCCTTCCTTCCTTCCTTCTTTCCTTCCTTCCTTCCTTCCTCCCTTCCTTTCTTCTTTTCTCCCTCCCTCCCAATGTGGGGCTTGAACTCATGACCCTGAGATCAAGACCTGAGCTGAGATCAAGAGTCAGACATTTAACCAACTGAACCACCCAGGCACCCCAAGCTTTCTTCTTAGGTTGTACTCCCCTGTAACTCTGGTTAGAATCAAAGTGAATTTTTTTTTTTGTCTTTCAAAAAATCTGATTATGAAAGAGTGTGCCATTAATAAAAGTTTTCCATTTGTACTGGACTCCTCTGCGGATAATGGTGCTTACTTCCTTAAAGTGGTTACAAGGTCATGGGCACATCTTGCCCTGAACAGGTTCAAGATAGGGTGACCAACTGTCCTGTCAAACCAGGATGAGTTGGCCACTCTAGTTCAAGGGCAATGGGGTGAATAAGTGGAGAGAGAAAAGATGATAAAAATTGCCATCACTGTCGATGATTATTCTGAGAGTTTTTATCCAACATCCAGTGTGTGACATACCTTCCTGCCTGGTCTTTCCCGCTGTGGTCCCCTGGCCTGACATGCTCTGCTGTTGTGTTTTATTTGCCTGGCTAACATCATTCTTTCTCCAAATCTAAATTCAATCTTCATTTCCTCAGGGAAAATTTCTCCGACTTTCCTCACTTGGTCACATCTCCCTATTATTTGTTCTCTTAGGTGATTTCACAGTTGTAATTTTCTATTTGAATAGTCATTACATACATATCTAGCTCCCCTATTTGGTGGTAAGCTCCATGAAAGCAGAACCTAGGTCTGATTTTGCTCACATTAAAACTTTAGTCAGTACAGCAAGGGGCTGTGGAGTGTGGTGGTCAGGCACCCAGACTAGGAGCCATGTGGGGGGGGGGTTCGAGGTCCATTTCTACCACTTACTACTCATGTGACCTTGGGCAAATTACTTAACCTCTATGTGTCTGAATTTTCTATCATATCATCTGTAAGATGGAGATAATAGTAGTACTTACATTAGAGAATTATCATGAAGATTTGATGAGTTAGTATTGATAAATTCTGTAATAGTGCCAGACATGTAAGTGTGTGCTATATAAACACTTGCTATTATGATAGTTTGCCATAAAATATTTGTTGGAGGGATGAAAATTATCTTGAAATGGATCACCAACCTAAATTTAGAAGCAAAGCCCATAAAAATTCTAGAAGAAAAAAGGAGAAAAATCTTTATGACATTGAGGAGAGCAAAGATTTTTTTTTTTTTTTAGGACACCAAGAGCACAAATCATGAAAGAAAAATTAGAAAAATTAAATATATCTGATCTTTGAAAGATCCCACTGAGTAAATGAAAAGCCAAGCCAGACTGAGAGAAAATATTCAAAATAAGTATATCTGACAAAGGACTTTTATCCAGAATATATAAAGAACACTTATACCTGAGGTATAAAAGGACAAACGACGCAATTATAAAATGAGCCAGAGATTTAAACAGCTACATCTTATAAAAAGATATACAAATAGCACATAAACACATGAAAAGATGCTCAACATCACTATTCAGGAGAGAAATGCAAATTTAAACCTCAACGAGATACCACCTCTCCCCCTCTAAAATGTCTAAAATAAAAAAGGCTGCCAGCACCAAGTGCAGGTGAGGATGTGGAAGAGCTAGAACTTTCCATGCATGGCTGGCCGAATTGCAAAACACTGCAGCCACTTTGCAGAATTGTTTGGCAATTTCTTACAGAGGTAAATGTACCATAACGCTCAGCAAGTCCAAGTCTCGGAACTTACCCAAGAGAAATTCAAACATATGTCCACACAAAGATGCAAGGGTTTACAGCAGCTTTATTCACAATAGCCCCAAACTATTAACAACCCAAATACCCATCAACTGGTAAATGAGTAAATATATACAAGGAATAGACCATCATGGAATACCACTCAGCAGTAAGTGGTATCAAGAACAAATTTCCGATACATGCAAGTATGCAGCATGGATGCATCTAACAGGCATTACACTAAGTGAAAGAGGCCCAACTTAAAAGGTTGCATACGGTGTGATTCCATTTATATGACATTCTGGAGAAGGCCTAACTAGCTATAGTGAGCAGCCAGCCCAGTGCTTTCCGGGGGCCAGGGGATGGGAAAAGCAAAAGGGCAACTTGTGAAGGGATTGAAATGTTCCGTATCTTGATGATGGTAATGGTCCCTTAGATGTACATTAAAAAAAAAAAAATGGTTGCAAAAATAAACTACAACCAGGCAGGACTGTGGCTTCTCCATACCGGTCAGGGTTCAGGCCAGGGCACTGTAGGTTGAATGGCAGGCCTTCTGTGTCGTTACATGCAGGGTGGGGCTGGCCTGAGAGCAGGACATTTCTGAGTCCTATGGAGGTTGGCATCAATTGGCAGGGAGGGCTCCTGCCCTGACTTTGAACCAAATGATAAGATCAGTCTGGGACAGGCCCAGCCCTCCAAGACCTCAGGGAGACTTGGCATACCTGGAAGGTCCTTCCAAGGTCCTCTGGGCCAGGAATGAGCAGCGGTGCCTGGGGAGGCCATCCTTGGGAAAGCAAATATCTGGCCGGAGGGTTGGGGATAAAAGAGACCCGGAGACAATGCGGTGTCCTAGAATCCAGCCTGGTTACTGCCTGCTTTTCATTCTCTATGCATCCCCAACAACCTGCATTTATTGAGGAGTAATTCACTTTCCGGCTCTTATTAAGTAAAGATCTAGATAACACCACCAATCTGCTCTTCTAATCCTCTGGAGAGAATCATTGTCACCACACCAAGCAGATAGAATTCCAGCGAAAAGCAAAGAAACTTGACATTTAGTTGTGTTGTGTGATACAATCTTCCCTTACAACTTGTTTGAATATAGCTCAGTGATGCCCTTTGCCCACCCCCAACCATTATTCCCTAGGGACCAGGGACCTCTTATTGGTAACAATAATCTAGTCCAGCTGCCTTATTTTACAGGTGAAACTGGGACCCAGAGAGGCCAACTGACAAGGCCCAAACTGGGCATCTGGCTAACGGCAGAATCAGAAGAAGTCAGCTCCCCCAAACATTCAAGCCAGCGTCTTCCTACTCTGCTGAGTAGGAAGGACCAACCCATATCCCTGCCAGGTTTGGGGGACTCTGTTCCTGTCACTGGTGTAAAGCTCAGAGGGCTCACATTCTGCGTCTCACAAAGGCTGATCCCTCCAAGTAAGGCCCCTGGATGTCAAGGAGGGAGTGTGGGTGAGTCATGGAAAAGAGTTGCTGGGGCATCCCCATGGGAAATGGCCCCAAACAACTAAGGTGACCAGAGTAAGAAAACTACAAGTCCCATGACCTCCTCAAACACCTGTCACAGCTGTTGTCTGCCAGCCTCATCTTCAGACTAGATGTCTTTTTTTTTTTTTTTTTTACATAATCTCTATGCCCAGTGTGGGGCTTGAACTCACAACCCTGAGATGAAGAGTCACATGCTCCACCAACTGAGCCCGCCAGGTGCCGCTGGACTAGATGTCGTTCCCTTCTGTCACAGAGGTAACACTAGAATTCTTACACAGCCAAGGGGCTGTGATGTTGGCATCTGACCAGAGTCAGGCCCTGGGGAAGTTGCCCAGGATCTGGACAGTCACAGGTCCTTCCACAGCTCTTGGAATGGTGGACCTTGGTTTAAAATCAGGTTGCCAAGTGCTATTTTAATAGATTAGGTGAATCATGTTCTTGTTGCAAAGTTTTATTTGGATGCATGACGATTGCCTAGCCCCCGACTCTGGTCTTCGTTTCCCCTTATCTCTCTGTCTTTGACATGACCTACATACTCGCCAAGTGACAGGAGCAGAAGGAGGGGTGGGAGCAGAGGAACTTAACTCCAAATCATGGGGCTTAGGGCATTGTCGGGTGGTGTCCTAGTCAAGAGCTCTAGGAGTACTTGAGTCTTACCCCAGCCCAGAGCCACCCGCCTCATGGAGACAAGCACACTGGGAGTGACGGTGGGCGGGGATCCCGTATCTCTTCAGTGGAGACTCAGGCGGTCTCCTCGTCTAGTTCTGCCTCTGTACATTACCGATGGCCATACAGGTGGTCCACTTCTGCTAAGCCTTCTAATACTTTATCTTACTTAGTGCCTGCTGAGGTCCCTCTTCTTCTCAGCTCCATAGAAAGGGAGACTCACAATGGCTTTTCCGAACAGACCTTGGGCCAGGAGTTTGGTTGGAAAAAGAGAACACCAATCCTTCTGGTCTACTTTGGCTTCCCGGTGGCACAGCGTCGGTGCTGGTGTTGAGGTGGGGGTACTCTGTTTACTCTTGTTTATTCGTTCATTCTTCTCTCTATCACTTCCCGAGCGCTAACTCTGTGCCAGGTGTTTTCCTACAAAGGAAAGTTGCTCTCAGCTCAGTCGTTTTGGGAGCAAGTATCCGGCGTTCTTTCCTATTCTTTATAAAAGGTATTTGTTGCTCAAAAGCAGAGTAAGAGCAGAAAACAAAATTCAAAAAAATACACTCACATTCTCATCATCCTAGTGGATTGACTTTTTATTTTCCCATGTTTCTATTCTGTATCCAGAAGCAAATATATTTTTCATGTAACTGCGCAGATACAATTGCTTTTGGCTTTTTTCATTTCATGTTATATAATAAACATCTCTCCGTATTCCTGTGGTGTCCATACTCCTCCTTTGTAAAGGCTGAGTAATATTCCATGGAGGGGATGTTTCATGATTTATGTATCCATTCCCCTATCTGGGACAAGCAGTATGTTTCCAGTTTTGTACCTTTATAAGCAGAGCCGTGATGAACTTCACGCAGTGAGCTTTGCCTTTCAGAGAATTATTTCCACTAGGATGAATGACCTGGCGTGGGATCACTTGTTTAAATGGTGAGATCATTTTTGCTGACAGGGGAGTTGAAGCAATTTTACAAGTAAGTCCCCCACGGGGTCTCAGCCACAATTATTATCAACCCAGAGAACCCCGTAAGACCCTGAATGTTCTCATTAGGGGTGATGATTGGGGACTGGGGAGTGGGTGGATAAAGGGTCGTTTATGTGGCTATCATTAACTTTTTGCTAGTAACCCAGAACACCTTATTTTATCCAGTTCTCATGACACACCTATGACCGGGTGCTATTCCAAAAGGAAACGTGGGTCTCGGAGCGGTTAAGTGTCTTGACTAAGGTCACACAGGGGGTAGCTGAGCTGGGCCTCGTGCCGAGGGTGGCTCCCTGGTGCTCCTGGGAGTTCAGCACCTGCTCAGACCCACAAGCCCCCTTTGCGAGGCCTTCGGTACCCCACAGGACAGTTGCTGATCACGAGGTTGTTGAAATCAGCCTTAGAGTTGAGCTCTGTGGTCATGAGTGTGACGGTGTTGAACCGCATTTACGTGGCAACTTTGAAGAGGGCCCAGAGCCTAAAGTGGAGACATTTCACATAAGGCAAGCAACTGAACACGTTCTCTTTTGGGTCCACTGCATCTGCTTTTATAGACAACGTGGCGTTAGACGCTCAGAATTGTGTCACTCGTGGGGCGCCTTGGTGGCTCAGTCGTTAAGTGTCTGCCTTCGGCTCAGGTCATGATCCCAGGGTCCTGGGATCGAGCCCCGCATTGGGCTCCCTGCTCGGCGGGAAGCCTGCTTCTCCCTCTCCCACTCCCCCTGCTTTAGTTCCCTCTCTCTCTGTGTCTCTCAGTCAAATAAATAAATAAAATCTTAAAAAAAAAGAAAAAAAGAATTGTGTCCCTCGGATTTGGCTCTTGGTGTCACCGTGTGTTGGCAGATCTCTACGAGGTCCTAGTTTCCTGTTCACTCATCCTCATTGACCTTGAGCAAGTCATTTAACTTTCTGGGCCTCAGTTTCCTCCTCTGGAAAGTGAGGAGTTTGGAGCAGCCAGCTCTGAGGTCTCCATGGTGGTATAATGAGACGTCCTTGGCTCCTTTAGTCAGCTGGACCAGGATTCTAGACCTGGCTTTTCTCCCTTTCCACCTCTGGAAAACTGAGGGGTTGGGAGAAGATCCCAGGGTCCCTCTGGGTCTAGGATGTATGAGTCCTAAGACTGTCCCATCTTTGAGTTGCAATGAGTAAAAGATGCCAGAGAGAAGTATTTGTGAAGCCAGGTTTCAAAAAGAAAAGTGAGAGTCAGAGCAGCGTAACCTGGGGGTTCCTGGCTCTATGTCCCCCAGAAATGCTCCCCTCTCCTGTGCTTGTGGCTGAAGCTGATGCTTTGCAAAAGTAAATACTTGCAGCACAAGGAAAGTACTAAGCATTAACTTGGCCAAACAACCCCAAGATTACTCTATAAGGCAAAAGTAAACCCTGGGTGGGGAATGTGAGCTAAAACACGTGCAGGGACTTGGGGGCCACCTGATGACGAAATGAGCTGGACCCCACCCCGAGCCTCCTTGGGGCTTCCCTGGGTTGTGGCCCAAGGCTGAGAGGGCCAGTCATTGGGTATGATCTTAGAGACTGACAAACCACCATTCATTCATTTTGCCCCACATCGAGTGAGCACTTACTATGTGGCAGGGATGGTGTTTAACTGTGCGGATACAACAGTGAATAAGATAGTCCATGCTGTCAAGAAGCCCATGGTCTTTTGGTGGAAGTGTGTAGGTAGACGATGGTTATACAGCTTGGTCAGCGTTTTGATGGTAGAATAGAGGAGGTACATATTCAGCTGTACGGTGGCTGGTGTGAAGGCAGCCAGAGGAATCCCATGGGTAAGGAGTGTCACCCATTCCCCAGCTCATCTTGGGGATTCCGATCAAGGCCTGGTCCTGCGGGGAGAGAAGGACTATGGAATGTGGAAGGAGGACGGGCCCATGTGTGGCCAAGGTAGTCACTTCTATACTTATAGAACTTGAGGTCATGCTGTAACCTGCACCCCAGGCCCTTCAGATTTTCTGAGACTGCATTTCCACTGAGACTCCTCAGGCGCTGGGGTCTATAGCACAACTGTTCCCATCATCTGTGGGTTCATTTCCTGATGAAGAAATGCAGAGTGGTTCAGTGGCTGGCCCAAGGCTAACAGCAGGCTAAAAAAATCAAACCAGGCCCAGAATCCCATTTCTCTACCTCTTCCTCCGTACGTCTAGGTTCTGAGATGGCAAGACCTTTTTGGCCATGTGCTTTTACCCTTGTTTCACTTTTCCTACGATATTCTTCGGCACCCCTGTCCTCCCTTCACTGACTGTGTCCAGGGGCACCGCTGACTGCAGCATGTCAGACCCCATCAGACCATGGACATGTACTCCAACAATTTCTGGCGCACCACGGGAAACAATGGTGGAGCAGAGTAGTGTGGAGGGAGGGGCACTGGCTTTGGAGGCAGTCGGCCCTGTATTTGATTCTCTATCAGTTATTAGTTGTGTGATCTTGATAAGTCCATTTCACCTGTGGGAGCTTCCCTTTCTTCTCTTAAATTGCCACCCTGAATATCCGTGTCATAGGGCTGTTGGGAGAACCAGTTGAGACTCGCTGAAATGTTTACGTAGACATTCACTACACAGCTTCTCTTTCCTTTCAAAGCTTACCTCAGATCTCTTCCATCTCATGACTGGACCCAACAGAGTTCCTTCCAGATACTTGCTGGTTTATACTCACAAAGATTTTTGCCCGCCTATTTAGCACCTTTCTGTGAGTTTTGTTTACTTCTTTTAGGCAGCATGTCACATGTCTTGGCAAGGATGCTGTGCCTTTGTGCCAAAAGGAGGCCCCTCTTTGGAGTGAGATAAACGTGTAAAGAGCCTCCCACATGCTTGGAATATGGCAAGTTCTCAATGAACAGAGGTGGTTATCGTGGTATCCCTGGTATTGGCGGTCACAGAAGTAGTAATCGGTGTTTGCTATTACATCTTTCTCTTTGAAGGGTCCTTCCACGCCCTGTCGGTAACACATCATGAACAGATAAAATATCAGATAAGATAACTCTTCATATCTAAGTGATATGGAATCACTTTCATTTCAAAAGGTCAAAAGGACCAGAAGATCAGTGTTAGGAATCTGCAGGGTACAGCCCCTAGGAAGATACAGGTCTCACACTTGGCTTTTCTCCAACACATCTGCCTCAAATAGGTGCATGGACACACCCTACTGAGACTCTCCCAGGAGGAGAGTGCCTCTGTTTTGTTTGGGGAGTGAGCTGTGCTTGGTTCTTTCTCTGGCTGGAAGCCTATAGGTATAGGTGGGCCTCCTTGTGGGAGAGAGAACACAATACAAAAATGAGCAAGGGGAGAGCCCCAGAGACAGAGCTCAGCTTGTCAATGATGGCCAAGAAAACCATGAGAGAAAAAATAATGAACTATGAGGGAAGGCTCTCCATACTAGATAATAAAACTTACCATAAAAATTCAATAATGCCAACTGTGTGTATTGGTGCATGGACAGATAGACCAAAGAAGCAGAGTAGAGATCCAGAAAACCTGAATACATATAGGAATTCAATATGTGTTAGCAGTGGCCTCTCAAATCAGTGAGGTAAAGAAGGGCTTTTAAATAAATAGTTTTGGGAGAGCTGGCAAAAGGTAGAAAGATATA